TTGCTCAGGATTTTATGTTGTGAAATTTGTTTTAAAAAATTACATTGTAAAAGTTTTCCAATGTTTATTTCTAGATTTGAAGCTTTGGTGACTGCAAGGATTCATACTCTTAGTTCTTTCGGTAAAGTCACGTAGGTAAAAAATGAAATTAAAATTAATAAAAATAAAACAATAAAATCAAGACGTTTCGGAGGCAACACAAGTCTCCGTCATCAGGTGGGACCGTCACAGCCAGATTAGCTGCATCAAGTGAGGCAGAGATTCCAAGATGCAAGCCCTTAAATACAAGTTGGTGGGGGAGGAGAGGGGGGGGAGCTTATCAGAATGTGGTAGCCAATGAATGGAACGTATCGGGAGGGAGGGGGGCGGGGATAAAAGAAGGCACTAAGTGCTGCGTAGAACGTATCGGGAGGGGCTAAAAGAAGGCACTTAGTGCTACGTAGGCGTCGGCAACGTGGACGTGTTTGTGTGAAAGTAACTATTGTTGCACATGCTAACGTATTGGACGAGGAGGGGGGGGGCTAAAAGAGAGTACGGGGTGCAAGTGTACGTGGACATGTATATGTAGAGGTGTTACGGGAGGGCAAACAAACACACCGGGCGTGGTTATGCCCGTACGCGAAGAGATGCTTACATCCACGTCCGCACCGTTTAGCCTGGGGGGCTAATACGGCGCTGGGATCCCCCACGGCCCCACCCCTCGGTGGGGGAGTTGCTATATAAGGCGGTGAGCCGGAGGGCTCGGGGTTCAGTGTTCAGCTTAAAGCAGCGAAGAAAGAAGACCGGCTAGATAGGCCCTGGGACTCCCCTGGATCGCCGTCCTTCTCAGGACCGACCAGGGCAAGCCAGTGGCGTGGCCCCGAGAGCCCAGAGCCGATGTTCTTCTAAGAGCCGGTCTGGGGACTCAGGGTGCCGTAATCCCAGCTTAACCAGAGCTGGGTCAGCTCGCCTCCCCTAGCCCTGTAGTGGAGGACCTAGGAGTAGGCTAGCCGGGACAGAGATTGTGGGATCTCCCTGTTAGACGGGTGAAGGGGCCGATACCCCTTCGAGTGTTGTATATCTCGGCCTGTAAAATACAACTGTGGTCAATAAATAAGTGTGCCTCCGACTATGTCGTCCAAGTCTCCTTGAACCTACTACATATATGTACAAGCACCTGTTGATACACATGATAGAAAAGAACGAAATGCCCAATACGTTAGCACGTGCAACAAAAGTTACTTTCACACAAACACGTCCACGTCGCCGACGCCTACGTAGCACTTCGTGCCTTCTTTTAGCCCTGCCCCCCTCCCTCCCGATACGTTCCATTCATTGGCTACCACATTCTGATAAGCCCCCCCCTCTCCTCCCCCCCCCAACTTGTATTTAAGGGCTTGCATCTTGGAATCTCTGCCTCACTTGATGCAGCTAATCTGGCTGTGTGACGGTCCCACCTGATGACGGAGACTTGTGTTGCCTCCGAAACATCGTGATTTTATTTTTCCAATGTTATTGAAAAAATATATCATATATGAAAAATGTTGCGAGAATCTCTTACACATTAGTCATGGGTGAAATAAATGTATTTTTGTAGGATGGTATTGAGGGGAAAAGAGAGCCATGAAGTTCGCTATCCCAAGAATTTGGCAAGAACCCACTGACCACTCAAGTAACTGCTACTTCTGCATGGTGGACCCTTCCAAACGTAGGACTGGCAAGAATGCACCTATCACCTTCCTTCATCCATCACCCCGGCGCCACACTGCCATGAGCTCCCCGTACCCACTCCTCCGGAGAGAGAGCAGCCGTCTTTAGAAGAGAGCAGCAAGTCAGAGCGCAAGGAAGACATTGTAGATCCAGATGACAATTTCAGAGGTGGAGCTGAGGAGAGAAACCCAGACCTCAACGACTTGATCAGAGATCTTGGTCTCACCAAGTCCAATGCTAGGCTTTTGACGTCTAGGCTCAAGCAGTGGAACTTGTTGGATGAAAGTGTGCAAGTTGCAAGTAACTTTCGACCTTGCGATTGCCCAGGGGTAGTGGTGCCGGCGACGACGGCGGAGGTGACAGTGATGACGATGACGGCGGTGATGGCGTTGATGTCGAAGTGCGGAGGAGCTGCGATTCCGTCACCGGTAATCTGATGCCACCTGGCAGGGGATGAGAGAATCAGTTTCATTATTCAGTTTTCGTGTCTATTTAACTGTGGCATAATTATTTGTTGCCGCGTGTGATTTCAATGTCTGATATGCAACAAATATTGTGCCAAATGTAACCAAAATTGTGCTGTTCTGGTTATGCATTGGGTGGCGTGTCGAGACGTGAAGCATCCATTAGGAACTATATTTTCAGCGAGCAGTGCACATTTGTGACGGCGAACGACCCTCGGGATCGGACATGACAAAAATACTCCTGAGAATCTGTTATCCGATTGGTTGAGTAATCGAACCGGTAATTGGTAGGGAAATCAATCACTCAAATCACTCAAATAAAACATACAATAAGATATCGCAGCTCTAGCGGTGAGTGATGCAGGGTGTAGTGGTGGTGAGCGGTGCGGGGTGTGGTGGTGAGCGGTGCAGGGTGTAAGATGGTGAGCGGTGCAGGGTATGGTGGTGGTGAGCAGTTCAGGGTGTGGTGGCGAGTTGTAGCGAGTTGTGACGTGTCTTGGTGGTGAGTTGCGGGGAATGGTGGTGAGTTGTGGGGAGTGGTGGCGAGTTGTGGTGAGTTGTGGCGAGTTGTGACGTGTCTTGGTGGTGAGTTGTGGGGAGTCGTGGTAGATGGCACCGCTCACCTAACCGTGCGTGGGACGTCTCTCTGTGCCACGTTGCGCGTGCGAACCACACAGCGAGCAGCACCGCCCCGACGAACGGGAGGAGGAGGAGCCGGAGTCATTAGAGGGATCCTAGGAGTGCGCGTGGGGGAGGGACATGGGGAAGAGAGCCAAGCAGAGCGGCTTAGGACAGACATTACGGACTCGACTCCCCAGCAACTTATACCCTGGGATTCATTTTCTAAATGCTGCTAGGCTGGCTTGCAAGTAGGCACTTGGCATTAGGCACTCCCACTAGAACACAAGGTATCCCTGGTCCACAATAATCCGATATTATTGTGCCATGCAATCCTATCTTGGGTAGCGAAAACAACAGTCGTTGCCTTATGGACAGACCCCCCCCCCTCCCACCATAGGAATGTGTAATTTCCACCGCTGGTTCTCAGCTGCAAACCAGAAATGAGTACCTCTGTAACTCTCATTTGAGCTGGAAATCACTTTGCCTTTAAAACATAGATATGTGTATTATATTATTCCTACACGGGTTTACCGTGGAAAGCCTCACTATATTTTCCTTCCTTTGGAGGGCCCTGCCAAGTTTCCGCAGGAAGGGGGCGGTAATTGCTCTGAACAATGCCAATTGATTAACTCGACTGACATTGCTATGGAACCTACGAACAGGTTCCTGAGTGTAAGACGCTCGGGGGGGGGGGGGGGCAGCGTTGATGGCAGTGGCTATCGTGACAGGACACCAACAGGGCGACCTGAACACCGGAACCCTGTTCCGGCTAAAAGAATGATCACAGCTAACCCCGCGCGGCATCTCCCGTAACCTGTCAGGGGATTCAATCCCAAAATGTACTGATTACGAAGATAACGTGAAAGAAAACAAATCAATGGTCCCCGACAGAAGTCTTGGAAGGGGGAGTGGGGGAGTAAGTGACATGGTCCGAGTCATTGTGTGGCTGGCTAATGGCTTAGCAATCGCGCTAGAGACAACACGAGTGGCTTACAGGCGAATTGGTAGGGAGAGAGATGAGGGCGATGGCGACGCACGCCTGTAATATGGCACCGTAGAGGCAGCAGCAGTGAGGGTTGGTGGGTCTCACACAGATGGTGTCAAACTTCCTTCCCGTGGGCGTCGAGGAGGAACCCGTGCCCTGGCTCCTCAGGAGGAAGCGGTGCAGCAAGAACGTGGACTCCACTTGTGACGTCCGTACGGGATAGTGGAGTGCCCCTAGCATGCGTGGGGTTTCTCCTGGTGCACCGATTGGTTGGCTGCGGACCGCAAACACTTGGACAATTGAACCTTATGGCGGACCCCAGGGTCTCGAATAAACGGAAGTCAAAATCGTAAATAATTAATTAATGGTCATTCCATCCCACCGCGCACATAAACGCCGCGACCAGTCTGGCGCGGATCATTCTGTTGTCGTGTCCAAGCGCAGCAGCAAGGACGAATGAGCAGAAGAGCTGAACAAGGGAATGCACTCCATGCTCGGGTATGGGCAGGATCATAAGTCTTATCCAAAGCTGATCAAACTGCTTGTTACCTTGTTATCTCCGCATAATACCCATCGCTTTCACACTCACATCCGCTGCTGTGTCCTCACCGAACTCTAAACAGATCTTATTTAAAGCTAGCCTAACACTAATCTCTGAGAAAATAAGGTTACTCCGATCTGAACTCGATCATTTAGACAAGGCTCTCTTACAAACACATTTAATGTTAACACAAAAAATGTCACCTTCCAATTGGAACCACGTTGATAACATGACTTTTGCTTCTGCTGACTCAATGTCAGACAAATGCAAAGCTAACTTGATTTCTAAATTCAACCTCCTATCTAAGAAGAAACCAGAGCCACACATCGCAAAGCTGGATGTTAACAAGACCGTGATTAATCAGAGTAACATCCCAATTTCTGACAATCTAAAAACGGTACTGGCCAAAGGACTAAATTTCGCCGTCACCCCTAAATATATACCAGTAGAGGATATGATTTCTCAGATTGATGTAGCCCTCAGAGGCATAGGACACATCCATGCGGATGTAGCAAGAGCTGAAATAGCTACTATTCTTAAGAATGCTAAGAAACCCACTAGTAACATCAGCAAAAACGAACGCTCTGAACTCGCGGACCTAAAAAAGAGAGATGATATAGTCATCCTCTCGGCAGACAAGGGCAATGCCACGGTCATCATGGATAAAGATTCATACAACAACAAAATCCTGGACCTTCTTAATGATGGGAGTTACTCCAAAATTAAAAACGATCCTACTAAAAGCCTAACGACAAAAACCAACAGTATCATCAGGAGTTCGACTTCCCTAATCGAACCAAGCAAACGTCCCTCTCTAAAACCATCGGCGGCTAGACCTCCCAGACTCTATGGTCTTCCCAAAATCCATAAAGAAGGCACCCCGCTACGACCCATCGTGTCGACGATAAACTCTCCTACGTACAAACTAGCCCGTTTTCTATCAGATACTCTGCTTCCCTTCACAGGCAAGACCTCTTCGGCAGTACTCAACTCAACCCAATTAGTCTCTATGGTTAAGGACATGGTACTATCTCCTGATGACATCCTCGTCAGCTTTGATGTAGTATCTGTTTACCAAAGTCCCAGTACCGGACACCCTAACAATAATTGAGGACTTAGTCCAACATGGATTGAATTCTGATGTACCTGCGCTGGTTAGGCATTGCCTCACCAACACCTATTTTATCTGGAATAGCACCTTCTACAAACAGAATGAGGGTACCCCTATGGGCTCCCCCTTGTCACCAGTTATAGCCAACATGTTCATGGAAAAGTTTGAATCAGACGCCATACAGACATCCACCCTGCATCCTTCCCTGTGGAAGAGGTATGTGGATGACACTTTCGTCATCTGGCCACATGGCCTCCCAGCATTGAACCACTTCTTGGACCACATCAATTCTAGACACCCATCCATCAGATTCACCATGGAAGTGGAGAAAGACGGTAATCTATCATTCTTGGATATTCTGTTTGAGAGGAGGCCTGACGGATCCTTGGGACATTCCGTCTACAGGAAAGCCACCCACACAGATTCCTACTTGAAACCGGATCCACCCATCTCAAAATAATTCTCTCATCAAAACGCTATACCACAGAGCCCATGGCATTTCTGACCAACACCACCTGACCGGTGAATTAAGACATGTACATCGGGCCCTCAGGATGAACGGATACTCTGACCGCACTATCCGCCAAGCTGTTTCTCCCACCACACAGAAACAGCCACATGAAACTCCGACCAAAACTATCACGTTACCATACATAGCAGGCGTGATCAAAAAGATCTCCAAAATTCTAAACAAACATAAGATCCAAGTCCGATTCAGTACAGTGCATAAAATCCGTGATATGATTCCATCTGTGAAGGATGTCGTTCCTGACTTACAGTATCCTGGAGTCTACAAATTGAGTTGCATTTGTGGTGATTGCTACATTGGAGAAACGAAACGTCATGTTTCTGATCGTGTCCGCGAGCACAAGTCAGATCTGAAACACGGCAGAACTGATTCTTCGGCCGTTGCCGATCACCGCTACAACTCGGTGGGCTCTCATGAAATTGTCTTTTCCGAGACCAAGGTTCTCTGCAAACCTCCTGGCTACCATCAAAGGTTTGTACACGAAGCCATACAAATATACAAACGCAGACATAATTTCAACCGTGATGATGGGTACAAACTTAGTAATCATTGGAAAGATGTTATCAACCACGCAAAAAAGACTTAATTACACATTTTTGGACCATCTTATCTGACAGGCACTATTTTACTTTACTTTACCGAGTGTTAACATCCCCAGTGTTTAACAGTACTCTCTTTATTGTTCAGCCAGCACTGGTATAAACATCGGCATTTTCGTTCTTTTCTATCATGTGTATCAACAGGTGCTTGTACACACACATGTCCACGTACACTTGCACCCCACACTCTCTTTTGGCCTCCCCTCCCCTTCTCTGTCCAATACGTTGGCGTGTGCAACAATAGTTGCTTGCGCACAACCACGTCCACGCCGCCAACACTCGTGTACCACGTCGCCCATCCTTTTGGCCCCGCCCCCCTCCCCCTCCCGATACGTTCTACGTAGCACTTCGTGCCTTCTTTTAGAGCCCCGCCCCACTCCCTCCCGATACGTTCCATTCATTGGCTACCACATTCTGATGAGCTCCCCCCCTCTCCTCCCCCCCTCAACTTGCATTTAAGGGATTACATCTTGAATCCTTGCCTCACTTGATGCAGAAAATCTGGCTGTGACGGTCCCACCTGATGACGGAGACTTGTGTTGCCTCCGAAACGTCGTGATTTTTATTTTATTTTACTTTTATTAATTTTAATGTTTTACCCACGTGACTTTACCGAAAAAAACCTAAGAATATGAATCCTTGCAGTCACGAAAGCTTCAAATCTAGAATTACTGCTCTCTTATCTTCATTGGTGACCTACCAATGTCTGCAGCCAGGATCAATCGATGACAATCCTATTACCTGCAGATATTTAACAGATGATATGTGTGGCACCATTAATTCCTCTTGTTTAAACCTTCTCTTGTCCGTATACATCTGTGCAGATTGTTTTTGCGGTTAAGCCATAGTCCCCACATATCGCTCGTATCAAAGCGGATAAGGGGAGCGGCGACCCACTACTCTGTAGAGTAACATCGATATAACCGCTTGTTACAATATGAACAGCGAATTGAAAATGCGCACTATTTTACGTACTATTTACAACGTGTGTTCACAAATCCACACTGAGAAACACGATGATTGACAGAGGGGTGTAAAATTTTTTTTTCGATAGTGTATTTAAATACAGGTACTGCAGGTAAGCAGTTTTCAGTTTTAAAGGTATCGTTTAACAAGACAACACTTGCCACCATCCTTCAAACCCATTGGTGAAAAAGAGCAAACATTTTGTTCATATTGTTTACTTTATGGTTCTTTCGGTAAAGCCACGTAGAAAGAAAATACATTAAATAATAGAATACGACGTTTCGATTGCAACACAAGCAACCATCATCAGGTACGAATGAATGAGAAAACAAGCATAGTAAACTTAGAAATATAATGCAACACAACCCAGAGAGTCGGCTAACACAAGAGTCAACATCCTACCTGGCTGATGAACCTTGATTTGAAGCTTTCGTGACTGCAGGAATCCACTCTTTGGTTCTTGCGGTAAAGTGACGTGGGTAGAAAATCAACTACATCACGACGTCTCGAACGCAACACAAGCGTCCGTCTTCAGGCGAAACGTCGCGACTTACTTTACTTTATTTATAGCGACGTGACTTTACCGCGAGAACCAGAGAGTTTGGTTGATGGACGTTCTTCCAAAGAATGCTACATTTGCGAGAGACTAAACATAGACACGGAGACACACAGACAGACACACAAGTAGAGAGAGAACACACAGTGAAGATGCTTGACAGGCTGCTGCTGCTGCTGCTACTGATTGAAGGCCTCTCCACACCGTGATGAACAAATGGTAAACGCCTGTTAGGCCCAAAACGACGAGAGGCCAGCACTAAACAATGGCTTAAACAATTGTCACAAACATATAATTATCTTCATATTGTTAGTTCCAAATAAATACGAAATGCTAAAGTTACTTCATTTGCGCTGCTTACAATGTCGTCCAGCAGAGCATCGCATGGTCAAGGCCGAGTTTAAGAATAGAAGGCCAATTTGAAAAGATCATCAATAAGAGAGGCTTCATCGATCTCGTGAACATGATGTATCGTGCAATCCGCACCACCCGACACAGTCAATTAGCAAGGTTTGCCACGTAAAGAAGGCGATTAAAGGTAATAACTGTACATGTCGTGGGTTTACTCTCCAACACACTATTTGGTGTTTAGTTTACGTGACAAACCTTACTCATTGGATGTGTCGGGTGGTGGCGGGCTTAACGACACATTCATATTCACGCGATCCAATCCACAAACCTCTACTATCGATTATATTGGTCGCGAAAACATCCTCCACTTTGTTAAACTTGACAACCTCAGATCGCGGTCGTTTACCAACGATGCGAGCCCGAGGCCTGGCGCAGGAGGCCTCCACCTCCACCACCACCAACACCACCACCTCCACCACCTCCATCACCACCTCCACCACCACCACCTCCACCACCACCTCCACCACCTCCACCACCACCACCTCCACCACCACCACCACCTCCACCACCACCTCCACCACCACCTCCACCACCACCTCCACCACCACCTCCACCACCACCACCTCCACCACCACCTCCACCACCACCTCCACCACCACCTCCACCACCACCACCACCTCCACCACCACCTCCACCACCACCTCCACCACCACCACCTCCACCACCACCTCCACCACCACCTCCACCACCACCTCCACCACCACCTCCACCACCACCACCACCTCCACCACCACCACCTCCACCACCACCTCCACCACCACCTCCACCACCACCACCTCCACCACCACCACCTCCACCACCACCATTCCACCACCACCTCCACCACCACCTCCACCACCACCACCTCCATCACCACCACCACCACTTCCTCCACCACCACCTCCTCCACCACCACCACCTCCACCACCATTTCCACCACCACCACCTCCACTCGTAGCAGCAGCAGCAGCGGCAGCAGCTGGGCCCGCGTTGGCCTTGCCACTGATCACACGACGAGGCGATTGCTTGGGTCGTCGCGATTAACGGTCGCGATTCTAATCAGTAATCGATTTCTCTCCAGCCCACTCTCTCCACTTCGTATTTACTCTTCTATCGATCTGGCGTGCCCACTGTTGCTCGCTCTATCAGCCTC